CCCGCCTAGGTACAGCCTGAGTCTTATCCGGCCCACAGCTCATAGGTTATAGGCCGGCGCATGAGTTTTCCATCCAACTTTTTTCCCTATTTTTTACCTTTTCAATTATATTAAACTTGTATTTAAAATTATAAAATTATTTCTAATTTGTTTCTTTAGTAATTTAAACTTATATTAAACTATTTTTAAACTTGTATTAATTTTTTTTAATTCTTCCAAGTATACAACAACGAGCTTAAAGATTGATGTTTTGTTTCTCAATGGGCCAAAAGAACCACGAGCCAAAACCTATGACCTTTTGCTTTGTTAGCAGTTAACTGCAGATCCAAATGGCTAAAGGAACAATTAGCCTAACAAAAAAATATATCATAGGCTAGGTGGGTCAGGTTGGGGCGGGTCGAGTCAGGCATGGGGTTGAGCCAGCGTGGTCCAGGCCTACTTCTTTGACCTCGGATCATGGGTTGGACCTAGCCTAGCCCATGACCCGGGTGTGCCATAGACCGGGCCGAGTCGTGACCTATGACAGACTGGATTGGGTCAGTTCACGAGTCGACTCGGTTCATGTCCAACTATATTTGGCAACTTCAAAATAAAACTGGGTTTAGTCCTTTTTTTTTAGCTAGGCTAGATTTTGAACTAGAAAGCACTAGTTTAATTTAGGCCCTATTTTTACAAAACAAAAAACAAGATTTTGAATTACCACCTAAAGTAAAATTTGCGGAGTTGCAGAACATACCGCAAATCTCCAAAGTTGGGAAACAACTAATCTAATCGTACAATTCTTGCTTCGTGATCGTGTGGAATTCATCAGTTGTTGACACCGTTTCCTGATGAATTTTTATAATTAGTTCGTCTTTTGTTTAGGGGATTTCCTCTTCGTTATTCTACACACAAAAAAGTACCCGGCTCGAAAATGTCTCATCAACGATAGAATTTTTTTGGTTTTTAGTTGATGAGTTGCGTTTAAATGGTAAAATTTTGATGGGAAAAAAACACAATTTTTTGTCCAGAGGGGAGATTGGAGATGCTTCGGAGAAGCTCCAGATGGTTCGCCGGTTGGAGCGTGCATCTCCCGCTCTCAAAGGCAAGTCTTTTGCAGTTGTGTTTAAAAATGCAGTGAATGTTGATGAAGAAATGGCTGGTCGATTGAACACGCGTCAATTTTTGATATGTCCTGCCTAGGAGTACTTATAGTTAATGCATTTAAGCAAACAGTTTAGCATTGGTTACCTCGTTGAATCAGCAACGAATCTAATCGCTCGTGTCGTCGGGTTGTTGATCATATGCGATATATTTAGCTGATATTAACAATTTATACTTGCTAGATTTTACAGTCGCAGCAGCCGAGGGTTTAGCAGGACCTAACTTGTAGGCAGGAGAGGTATATAATTTGAACTATAAGATACGGTTTGGGCTCCTTTGGAATGAATTCACGTGAAGGATGACTCTGTAGGACTCTACTTCACCTGCCCTAACATACGATTGCTTGCAATTGTCGAGAAACTCGGAAGGGATAGCGAAAATTACTGGCTAAAGCTTGTCAAGGGGCTCGTTCATCTTTCCCTTGGGGAGCTTAAATCAGGTTTGGTGTCTGTTGTGCGCAGCGGAAATTTCGGCAGAGTTTCTGGTGCACAATAAGAGAGAAAGATCAATAAGAATTCTTGTTTCTCAAAGGGAACAAGAATCTGAAGCCTAATATCTTATCAAAGTGGGATATTAGCTCTTTCTCTCGTCAGCTCTAGGACTGCGCGTCGAGGGATCCTAAAAACTATTACAATGGCCACAAACTCAAACAAACTGATTTTACGTGGTTCGGCAAACTGCCTACGTCCACGGGGCAAGGAGGGGGGATCTACTATTAAAGAGAAAAAAAACAATGGGTTTACAACTCTCACAATCTAAACCCTCAAATAGGCTCCTTGCTTTTCTTTACAAAAAAAAGGTCAGCCTCCAAATACTTTTTCTCTTCACAGAGCCCTAGGATTTCCCCTGCTGCAGTCGCCAAAACAGAAGCCCTCTTTCTGCACCTGCGCGCTGCCAAAGGAAGAAGAAAAACAAGCCGACTTTTCTCCCTGTACCGAACCCCACTTTTTCGCCTTTGCCAGCGCTGTCCTTTGGACCCAGCCGCCTGCCTAATCCCCCTCTCAATCTTGCACAGTTTTTACGAAACCCTAGGAAGAGAACTTATAAAGCTCTCACTCGGGTGGGCCATCACCACATCCAAGGAAATCAAATACAAACTGCTCACGCGTTTTTTCTTTTGATCTCTTCACGTGGCTTGGGTTCACGTGATCCATGGTGGCCTGCTGTACTCGTGTGGCCCCCACACGTTAAAAAAACGCGTCATCACAGTGTCTATACTTATAGGAGGATCCAAATCCCCCGGTACCCCACAATTGGTTAAAGTTTGCAAATAAAACCCTTTTGCAGAATTTAGCCAATTTTGCATAAAAGCCCCTTCTACAAAATCTTGGTTTTGACTCCACATGCCTTATCAAAATTTTGATCACGAGTTCGTGGTCAAAACTCATTGGATGTCAGCCCCAAATTCGTGGCCCTTTTGCAGATAAACCCCTCTAAAAATTTTTAGGGGCTGTTTTGCAAATAAACACCTCAAGTAACCCCTTGATCCTATTGCATAAAGCACCCCCACATCCCTTCATCAAGTGGACATAAACCCAATACCCGAAATTTCAGTTCCACTTTTGCAAATAAACCCCCACGAAATTTCAGTCCCCTTTTGCAAATAAGCCCCCCAAAATTCGGCCATTTCACCTCTCTTGCACAAAACCCCCAAGAGCATATTTTCATACATAAACTCCTATCTACCAAGCATAAAGATGCAATCTTTAAAGCAAAATAAGAGGATTGAGGGGAGGGAGGAGATTTCGGCAAAGGGGTACCCGCCAAAATCCAACCTTGCCTTGAGGAATGATGTTCTTCAAATGGAAGGAGCTTGGGGAAGAAGAAGAACTTTCAAAACCGAATAAAAGGGGGGGGAGTTCGGTTTTTGGGAGCTAAATAGGAGGGAGTTCTCTTCTTTTGAATTTTGAAAAGAGGGGGAAAACAAAAGAAGTAAGGAGACCAAAACAAGGAAAAGAGAAACAAGCAAAAAAGGGAAAAAGACAAAAGAAAAAAAAAAGAGCAAGAGGGGGCTTCTTTGACCTCGGATCATGGGTTGGACCTAGCCTAGCCCATGACCCGGGTGTGCCATAGACCGGGCCGAGTCGTGACCTATGACAGACTGGATTGGGTCAGTTCACGAGTCGACTCGGTTCATGTCCAACTATATTTGGCAACTTCAAAATAAAACTGGGTTTAGTCCTTTTTTTTTAGCTAGGCTAGATTTTGAACTAGAAAGCACTAGTTTAATTTAGGCCCTATTTTTACAAAACAAAAAACAAGATTTTGAATTACCACCTAAAGTAAAATTTGCGGAGTTGCAGAACATACCGCAAATCTCCAAAGTTGGGAAACAACTAATCTAATCGTACAATTCTTGCTTCGTGATCGTGTGGAATTCATCAGTTGTTGACACCGTTTCCTGATGAATTTTTATAATTAGTTCGTCTTTTGTTTAGGGGATTTCCTCTTCGTTATTCTACACACAAAAAAGTACCCGGCTCGAAAATGTCTCATCAACGATAGAATTTTTTTGGTTTTTAGTTGATGAGTTGCGTTTAAATGGTAAAATTTTGATGGGAAAAAAACACAATTTTTTGTCCAGAGGGGAGATTGGAGATGCTTCGGAGAAGCTCCAGATGGTTCGCCGGTT